TGTTATGCTAATGAGTTCCTGCTGGGCATGGTCAACTCAGGAGCCAGCCAGAACTCTGTTCCGGTGCGTTCCTGCCCAAAAATAGCCCTGTTTACATGTGATGACTGGCTAGTTGGTTTCTCCCCATCCCCTTTACATTTTCAAAAGGACAGTTCTCAGGAGAACTAGGAGCCAGGTATCTTCACTATTTTGCATGCTAACTTAACAAGCCACTCTCTATATATACAACTATGATTTGTAATTCCATTTCATTGTCTGACAAAGTGTGCGTGCACACGAAAGCTCACACCTTGAATACAACTTTGTTGGTCTTAAATGTGCCACTGGACTCTAACTTTGTTCTATTGCTTCAGACGAGTATGGCTGCCCACCTTGATCTAAGAGCAGGTATATTTATGCTGTCAATCCCAGTCTCACAGGGCAGTTGATGTTACATGGCATTGGAGGAACACCGTGGGCCATTCTAGCTGGACTATGAAGGTGTGCAGGGTCTTTGCTTGCCTCTGTTCAGGTTCTTAAGGTGCTCTGATGTTGGTAGTTGACCTTGAGGAGCAGCACAGAACAAACCACTGAAGTTGCCACTTTTTATACTTCAGAAATTTTTGTGTCATATGCAAATACTTTCTGAGTAATGGTATGAACTGCTGAAGAAAGCAAAAGGTCTTAATACCACTTGCACAGTTAATGGTCAAAACAGTTTTGCATAATTATTTTTTGCCACATGATGGTGTTTTCTGTAATATACTAGGGCCAGGGCATTTTCGGTGGCGGCTCCTACCTGGTGGAACGAGCTCCCAGAGGAGATCCGGGCCCTGCGGGACCTTGTGCAATTCCGCAGGGCCTGTAAGATGGAGCTCTTCTGCTAGGCTTTCGAGTAGGAGCTGCCGCCGCCACTATCCCACCACCGAGGTAGTGTGTCATCAGCTGCCCTACTAAAGGGGGGGGGGGCAAGCATGGCCTGGCAGAAGTTTATAGACAGCGTAGCGGGAGACCACGCTACTGAGATAGCTGGCCGCCAAATTTGGGTGGTGTTCCCATCTTGGATGACTAATATAGGCACAGCACTGTGTTATAGGATGGAGTTTACTGTGGTTTTAAATGTTTTTTATTATATGTTTTATTGTATTTTATATCCCAGCTTTACCGCATGTGAGCCGCCCTGAGCCTTTGGGAGGGCGGGATACAAATCAAATAAATAAATAAATAAATATCAGTTTGATCGGAATCAAGAGATGGGAAAGCAAGAAATTAATTCACTTTTTTAAAAAAATAGTAGCTGAGCAGGTGATCTCTCTCTCTTTCTCACACGTGTGCACTTTAGCTCACTGTGTAAAAGTTTATACCCAATGCCTTTGCCAGTCCGTTTTTGTTGCTCTTGCATGGTCCTGTTTTTTTTGTAACTGTGACATTTTCTTAATATGTGTTTAGCAAGTGATAATGGTTCTGAGTCATGGCTGAGCGGGCCTGGATGTTGGATTTAGTTTTTCCCACAGCAAGTCTTCATGGCCTGGTAAACTGAAATATGAGCCTGCTTACCATTTCTGTGCTGAAGAACAGAAGAATAATGGACCGCAAAACACATTTCACTGCTATTAGCTTTTCAAGTAGATTGAGCTATTCACTGGGCAAAAAAAGTGTGTTGCGGCAATTACGTTCCTATCTGGGCTTTGCCCACTTGCCGTTTCCAAAAATGAAACGGTTATCTTCTCTTCGCCCTCCTCTGTTGACAGCGGAGAGTGTCAACCAAGACCAGAGCGGAAATGTAGATTACCCTTGTTGTCAGATTTTAAAAGAAGTTATTTATGGTTCAAGGAAAACCTATATGGACTTTAAAAAACATGCTTCATTGTGCATGGAAGAAGCGGACTTTGAACAGAGCAGAACTGGTGAAATAGCTGGTGCAATCTGATAGAAAAGCGGATGCTGGTGAAGTACCTAGTCGTCCCTCTTCAGGTGTATTCTGGAGGGAATCATCTTTCCCCAGGAAAACGATTTCGAAACAAGGCATTTGACTTCATACATTTGACTTCATACTAGCAAGATGCACAGCCCTGTGACAAGGCAGAGACGTAGTTCTGTGTGTTTCAGGTCCCTTGACATGCATTTGTACAATACATTTCCCTTGGAATAGGAGCTAGACTACTTCATGCTAGAGAGGGAGGAGGCAAGTTTTCCCATCAGTGCATCGCATTGCCACGAGCTGGGCTTTACTTCCTTTAAATGGATTCCCCTTAAACAAGAGACAGAGTAAAGATTTTGGGGTGGGTAGGCTAAATCTAGTGTTCCTGTTTTTTCCAAGAAATCTGGCTTTGCTCTTTCCTCAGTAACAAAAATTACACATATATATTTCAAGGTTCCAGCTCCTGCCAAACTAGCAGTTCGAAAGCAAGAAATTGCAAGTAGATAAATAGGTACCGCTTCAGTGGGAAGGTAACAGCGTTCCGTGTGCCTTGGCATTTAGTCATGCCAGCCACATGACCACGGAAACGTCTTTGGACAGCACTGGCTCTTCGGCTTGGAAACGGAGATGAGCACGGCAACCCTAGAGTCGGATTTGACTGGCTTTCGAGCAAGGGAACCTTTACCTTTACTGTTTCAAGGTTATTTCCCTGGATTATTCCAAAATAGATGTATTTGGAAGCAAGTCCTGTTGGAACAAACAGGGCTTACATCTCAAATATGTGTAAACTAATTGGTTGTAGTTAGATCTAATTAAATGTATTTGTAAAAATGAAGGATAAATATCTGGTGGATATAGCATGTCTTCAAATTTTGTTATTACTTCATTCATAGAGGAAAAAGTGGAGAGGGAGATTGCACTGCCCCCTACCTATGCAGAGGAGGTGTCTGCACTTACGTTTCCTCACCATGATCGGCAACATTCAGAAAACCCATGTGCTCATGGGGTGACATCACTTCCGGGAAATCACATAAGTGATGTCATGTCTCTCTAGGAATTGCCAAAAACGCTTTGGTTTTACTATAGAGTTGTGGCCAGTTCCTAGAAAGACGTGATATCACTTCCAGGTTTCCCCAGAAATGATGTCATGACAATGGCCATTTTGTTATTTTACTTTTCTTTTGCCATCTGAGGATGGGGGTTCTCACCAGGGGGCTGGCAACCCTACTACTGTCCCTCCCCATGCATTCAGTTAAGACACAGAGGGGTTGTTTGTAGAGGGTTTAATTTAATGAGGAATTCACTGTCACAAGGTGTAATAATGGGCACCAGTTTAGTTGGCTTTAAAAACAGATTGTACAATCTCATAGGCTCATCAGTAGCTGTTAGCCGTAGAGATTAAATGGAACTTCCATGTTTAGAGGGCTTTTGAATACTGGTGTTGGAAGAGTAGCTTTAAGGGTAGGCTTTGGCCCCTATGCCAAAGATTAATGTGATTTTATGACAAGCAGGGTTGTCCTGTTTAGAATTTCCAACAAAAAAACATACTCCATGTGTTAAGATTGAGACTGCATTTACACTTCCTAGACTTGGGGTCAAGAGAGAGTAAAATCAGCACAAATATGCCATCTTATGGTGTTACTGACATAATGACCTGTCATCTCAGTGGCAGGGGCAAGGCTTAGATGTGATTCCAGTCTTACACTTGTTTAATCACATGCCTTTTTACTCTTGCACACTTCACCATTTTGTGGGCTGTGTACAGAAAGTCTTTAATTGCAGAGTGAGAATTTGCCACAATTTCTGAATAGCCCCAAAGAGGTATTCCCCATCTAGATGGAAAACCCGAAACTGAGGTTGGAGCGAGTGGCAGTCTTTGTCTCATCTTTATCCCACTTTTGCGACACCCAGATGATCCAAGTGAAACAGGAAGGGCTCAAGCCATTTCTCAAGAAGGAGAGATGCTTATATAATGTGAGGATTAGCTAGTTAGCAACAGTGCTTTGTTTTCCAGTGTTCTATATTCTCAGTATTTTTTTTACTGCTGTCTGTAGAATCATCCTAAATATCACGTGTTTAATGTAAGTGCTTATTAATTTAAAACTATAAACCTTGATGCCTGTTCTGGAAAAAGGATTCCTGGAACATCTTACCTACCATCAGGGCCTATGCCCCATCACACACTGAAGTCCTGAAAAAAGATTGGCAGGGAAGAGCAAACCCCCCCCCCCTTTCTCACGCACATATGTCTAATAGAGAACAGATAAACTAGGCTTGGAGCAGTCTGTCCAGTTTTAATAATATTTGTTTAGTGTTGATGAGAAATATTCATAACTGCAAATAATAGAAGCAGAAGAATAACTGGTTCCCTAGTTTGAAAAAGGAATCCATAACATTAGTATGCAGCGCCAGGATCAGTTTTAAAGAAGGGGGTGTGGCATGGCAGCAGCAGCTGGTGGTAGGAATTTGTAACATGCCCTCTTGTGTAAAAAAGAATGCTGTGCTAATTGGACTATTGATCTGATCTATTATGGCTGTTCTTCTGTTAGTAATTCCATGGGTTATCCCTTATTGTGGTAGGTGTTGCGTCGATCAGTGATACAGTAGAAGCTTTGTATTCATAAAGTTCTAAACATATTTCCCTACAAAAGCCATTCAGTTGAGGCAGAAGGTCAGAAATAGAAAACTCTGTCAAATGAACTAAGCTTGGAAAGGCTCACACCTGCAACCTTCAGGAACTCTCCTGCCTTCAGAGAAAAGATGTCGAGATGTCTTTGAGGTTCAGACTGGAATTATATGCATTTTTTAAAAATTAGGTACGGCTGTCCCTTGTAACTGTGAAAATGTCTTAAAAAGACTTGTCTTAAAAAGGCAATATAGACTTCTCTTAAAAAGACAATATAGTTAAACTCTCTAGGGCTTTTCCCATGTGCACTTGTAATGCGTTTGGAGGGAAAGACAAGAACATAAAGCTGTAAAATATGGCGTGCATATTAACAGCTTCTTATTTATGAAGTTTGAATGCATTTAGGGTGTGCAAGCTGCACTTCATTACATTTTGATGTTTACCATGGCTCCATTTCCCCCCCCCTCCCTCCAGGAATTCCAGAAAGGAACTTAATGACATACGATTCGAGTTTACTCCAGGCAGAGGTAAGACTTTTAATTGAAATTATGCTTTTATGGCTCCAAATGGTATTTTGGAAATGGATTTCTGTTTATAGTTTAATATAAATTAGCGCTACGAAATCGCTTGTACCAACCAAGTGTTTTATATTACACTACTTAGCCAAAACAAAAATAGTGCCAAGTGTTTAAATTTTTAGTGGCATGGTGATGAAGTGTTCTGTCCATTGTGGGGGCTGGAGGGGGGGGTACCATATACTGATAGAGGGCAGTTTGTCAGTTTC